ATTAATCACTGCTTTATATTCTTATATGGATATTAGACCAACTGAAACTCCTGATATTGACACTTGTATTTATGATCTACACAAATATTTAAAAATATTATATAATTATTATGCTAACATTGTTGATGCTTCTTCTGCTGTAGATGCAAATATTCCTTCAAGTTCAGTTTCAACATCTGGGACCAGTGCTTTGGATGATAATGATCCCCTTGAAGATTATTTGATTTGGTCTACAATAGGGGAGCATCAACAAACCAGTAGCAGGAATATTGATGAACTTCAATTCTACTTGCAAAAGTCAGCAGAGCCCCGCTCAAAGGAATTTCTACCACTGGATTGGTGGAGAAGCAACTCAAATCAATTTCCTGTTCTTTCGGCCATGGCTCGAGACGTGCTAAATGTGTCGATTTCAACAGTCGCATCAGAGAGCGCATTTAGCCAAGCAAGGCAGCAACTAGGAGATACCCGTCATTCATTGGGTAGCAACGCTTTGGAAATTCTAGTGTGCTTCAGAGATTGGATAAGATCAGAATGACAAAATCAAGGACGTGACGAGGTAGATGAAGCGGAGGAACAAAAAATTGGAGATATAATGGTTTATGGTTCTGATTCAACCAATGCCGGAAACCAAGAACCTCATGTTGACATGGATGAACTTACAAAAATGATACAAAACATGTGATGTACTATTTGTTTTTTATAATTGTTGTAAACTTATAATTTGCAAGTTCAAAAATAACAAAATCAAAAAGAACTTACAACTTAATTTGAAGTATTATATATTATTCAATAAAAATATCAAATGAAAGTCTTCGGAGCTTGATCCTTACATATAGGTCTTATTAAATAATTTTTTGTAGCCACTTACTTTCAAATTTTAATTTTAACATTATAAAATTCAAATTTTAAATTTCAAATTTTAAACTTCAAAGTTTAATTCTAAGCCTTAAAAATTTGCAAACACTTAAGTATCAATAACATTGAATAAGAAAAATAAAATTTACTTTAAAAATAAAAATAAAAATTCACGGCCCGCTAACAACCCGCTAAGTCCGAACCCGGACGGACAAAAAAAACTCCGAAAAAGTACAGCCCGCTAACAGCCCGCAATGTTAAACGGACGAGATGATTTTTTTTGTGTCCAGCCCGTCCCAGCCCGCCCGTTAAACAACTTGTAGTCATACCGCACTTCTATATTTCTTGTGCAGATTCTGGTGTTGGTCCCAGTGGCGTTTAGTGGAGGCTTGCTCAGACTGTAATTATCCAGAGACTTGAGGTAGAGCTGCACAACGCTGACAGACCCTGAAGTCCCCTTCTTATCTCTATTACTGTTTATTTTTTTTCGACAATTGTATTTTTATTCAGACCTTGTCTGTAGTACTTTTAGCAGCTCATGTACTTATGACACCAATTTCTGGGTGTAGACCAGACTGCATTGGTTTTAGATTTTTATGTTACAGAGTATTTCAACTTATATTCTTAATCCTTTATTTTTAAATTGTTAAAATTGATTATGTGGTTAGGCAAGCCACGAGAGAGATATTAGAGTTCTCAAAGGGTTACTCCGGTGATCACAAGGGAGACTGGTGGTGGAATGGAGAGGTGCAAGGAAAAATGAAAACCAAGAAAGCAGTGTATCTGAAACTAGTGGAAAGTGTAGACGAGGAGGAGAAGAGGGCGAATAAGGAGCATTATAAGTTGGCTAAGAAAGAGGCAAAGCTAGCAGTTACGGCGACAAAGAATGTAGCTTTTAGTCATTTGTATGCGGAACTCGAGGGGACGAGGTGGGGATAAGAGGTTGTTCAGGTTGGCCAAGGCGCGAGAAAGAAAGGCGCGTGACTTGGACCAAGTGAAGTGCATCAAGGACGATGAATGTAGAGTTTTGTTAGATGAGGGGCTTATCCGTCGGAGATGGCAGACCTTCTTCCATAGTCTCGTGAACGAGGATGGGGATATGAGTATTGTACTGTGTGATTTGGAACACCCAGGAGTCACTGTGACTTGGGGTATTGTAGGCAGATTAGAGTTGATGAAGTTGAGGGGGCTATACGTAAGATGAGTAGAGGTAAAGCGACCGGGCCGGATGAAATTCCAGTGGAGTTTTGGAAGAGTGCGGGCAAGGCAGGCTTGGAGTGGCTCACTAGGTTATTTAATGTCATTTTTAGAACGAAGAAGATGCCTGAAAAGTGGAGGTGGAGCACGATGGTTCCTGTATACAAGAACAAGGGTGATATCCAAAATTGCAATAACTATCCGGGTATCAAGCTGCTTAGCCATACTATGAAAGTCTGGGAGAGAGTGGTAGAGCTAAGGGTGAGAAGGAGTGTGTCTCTTTCCGAGAACCAGTTTGGGTTTATACCGGGGCGTTCGACTACAGAAGCCATCCACCTTGTTAGGAGATTGATGGAGCAATATAGGGAAAGAAAGAATGACTTGCATATGGTGTTCATCGACTTAGAAAAGGCGTACGATAAAGTTTTGAGGGAAGTTTTATGGTGATGTTTAGAGGCTAGAGGTGTACCTGTTGCTTATGTTAGGTTAATTAAGGACATACATGATGGAGTAAAGACCCGAGTGAGGATGGTGGGTGGGGACTCGGACCATTTTTCGGTTATGATGGGGTTACATCAGAGGTAGGCACTCAGCCCTTTTTTGTTTGCTCTGGTGATGGACGTACTGACGTGCCACATCCAAATGGAGGTGTCGTGGTGTATGCTATTTGCAGATGATATTGTATTGATCGATGAGACGCGAGACGGTGTGAATGCGTAGTTAGAGATATGAAGGCAGACCTTGGAATCTAAAGGTTTCAAGTTGAGATGGATGTGCAGGCACACCAGGTTAGATAGGATTAGAAATGAGGTTATTCGTGACAAGGTAGGTGTAGCCCCTATTGAGGATAAGATGCGGGAAGCGCGACTTAGGTGGTTTGGTCATGTGAGGAGGAGGAGCATAGACGCCCCAATGAGGAGGTGTTAGAGGTTGACATTGGAGGGCTTACAAAGAGGTAGAGGTAGACCTAAGAAGAGGTGGGGAGAGATGATTAGGCAAGATATGGCACAACTTCAGTTGACCGAGGACATGACCCTTAATAGGAAGGTATGGAGGTTGAGGATTAGGGTAGTAGAATAGGCAGTCTAGAGTATTCATAACAGTAGTATTGACGCACAGTCTCGCTTTCTGTTGGTAGTAGGTTTTTATGACTAACCGTTATTTTCTTTTATTGTTGATCACCTTACTGTCTTGCTGTTTTTATTCTGCTTTTATATGACTTTTTGGTACTATCCCTTCTTGTCTATATTTTCATTATTGTGGTGCTTATGCTTTCTTGAGCCGATGGTCTATTGAAAATAACCTCTCTATTCTCACAAGGTAGGGGTAAGGTCTGCGTACACATTACCCTCCCCAGACCCCAAGGTGTGGGATAATACTGGGTATGTTGTTGTTATTGTACTAGAGTTGGCTTGCCTAGCAAGCAGATGTTAGGCGCCATCACAGTCCCGTGGTTGAGATTTCAAGTCGTGATAATTGTATGGCCGCACGGTATTTTATGATTCTTCAGAGGAATTTATAGCATCCATCTGTTAATGTCCAAATCCTCTTTTTTTATGACTACATGTGTTTCTGTAGTCTCATATTTAATAATACCCGAGAACTTTCTTCTGTATCGAGGAACATCGAAATAAGCAAGAATACTATTTCGAAGAAAAATATTCAAAACGTATAACTACTTATTCATAAAATAAGTTTCAACACTTAAAATCTTCTTTTCAACACTTGATGCTTAAAAAATACTTAAATTCAACCAATCCGAATGAGCTCTTAATATTTTGTGAACGACTATTACCCCATATTCTTATATTAAGTGGAACTAACATCATTTTAAGACATATATAATCAATTATATGGTGGGAGGTATTTTATACTCACCTTCACATTATCGTCATGGTATCTGTGTAAGGCCTATTAAAGGGGAATAACACTTCATACCAAGATTTTTAACATTTATATAGTTCAAACATAAAACCTCTAGTTAAGGGCGAAGAAATTCTATTCTTACTAAGAAAATCGTTAGTGGTATACATATGTAACTTTAGGCATATATTATCAGTGTATAAACATATCATTCTACTCCCTTCGTCTAAGTTTACTTGTCCACTATACTAAAAATAAATGTGTACTTTTACTTGCCAGTTTAAAAAATCAATGGATAATTTATTATTTTCTACCTAATATACCCTTATTATTTACAAATATTTTTATTTATAACAATCAAAGTTAGTTTTTCAATAGTAATAATTATAGGTGATATAGTAAAATTATCATGTTATTTATTATTTTTTAAGGGGTGTACCAAGTCAATAGTGGACAAGTAAACTTGGATGGAGGGAGTAAACTTTTAGACTCCTCCTATCTTAATTTATTTGGCATTGTTTGACAATACAAATTTTTAAAATTTGTGGCATTGGTTTAGACTCCTCCTGTCTTAATTTATATAGGTTATTTGATTGGGCACAAAATTCTATAATTTGTGACATTGTTTTAGACTCCTAATGTCTCAATTTATGTGGCATTATTTGATAACGTACAAATTTATAAAATTGTAATCCGAAGCAGGCCATATAAATTTATATAGCTATAAATAAAAAATTTAATGCTAAATTGTTCTTAAATATACAATAATGACATTTTTTTAGTTGGGAACATACTAAAAAAAATATGCAACATAAATTAGGAAGGATAAATAATTATACATCAGCTCAAGTTGGACCCAAAAAAAAAAAAAAAAG